GTCAGTGGGGACAAAGTTCGCCCTTAGGAAGCTGGACTGAGAGACACGTGGACTTGGTGTCTGTGTACGAGGATGAGGCAGGCTCAGGTGGATGTGGTGTGGGTGTAGGAGGATGGGGTGAGGGTCAGGTGGACGTGGTGTGGGTGTAGGGGGATGGGGTGAGTAAGGTGGACGTGGTGTGGGTGTAGGAGTATGGGGTGAGAGGTTAGGAGGACGTGGTGTGGGTGGGAGGATGGGGTGAGGGTCAGGTGGACGTGGTGCATGTGTGAGCATGCTGTGAGGGTCAGGTTGACGTGGGTGCGGGGCTGGAGGAGTGACGGAGCCACTCGCTCAGCATCCTGCGCATGGTCCACCCTGCCTCAAACACTTCCTCTTGTGTCATTGGGGTTCCTTGATCCTCTGGTACGGCCTGGCAGTTTTACTCCCTGGTTAGATGCACAGGGTCTGAAGGGATTGGAAGTAGGTAGAGTCGTCATAAGCCGGGGGGCATTTGAAACAGAGCTTTCCCAGGGGTGTGGCTTCATCTTGGCTGTGGCGGGAGGGCGGGGAGGGGCTCCATCCCGCAGTGGCCTTTGCTCAGACCCCCCTGAGTCTGCGCTCCAGGCCCAGGGTCCTGCAGTACGTGAGTCTGATCACTTGGTCATGAAGTGTGGGGGTCGGAGATGGAGGCGAGCCACAGCAGCGACAGCGGGCGTGGGGTCAAGTTTGAGTCTGTAATTAAGACAGGAGCTGTAACAGGGTGGTTGTTGGTGAAGGAGAAATGTTTTCTTCAGATTACACATGCCAGACACACCCTAGAGTGCAGAGGTTGTACAGATGTACATGTTTATGTATTTATTTTAAAGAGGCATTGTGCGTTTGATAGATGGGTTTTTCCTCCTATCAGTTTTCTAGAACAAAGTTTCTGTCAGGTCGCACGCAGCCGAGTGGTTCATGACTCACGGCAGCCACACAACAGTTCCGGTGTACAGGGACCCAGGTCCTGGACGTGTGTGTCCCTTCTCGTGTGTCTCTGCAGTGGCTTTGGGTGATGGGGTTCAGAGACACCGGCGAGCTGGCGCTGGGCAGGGTGTGAGGCCAGCGCCAGTGGCTCGCCTGTCCTTTGGAGATGACGCGTTGCATCTATTGACAGAGCTGCCCCCTTTCACCTGGCACAGCTCGTTGAGAAAGATGTTTCCGGAAAGGACTATGTGGGGGACCCTCAGGGTGAACGGACGGGAGCGTGTGTGGCGTCACAGTTGAAGTGGTTATTGAGCACTTACTGCGTGCTGTCTGCTGTAACGTCCCCTCTTACGCCTTCATGACGGGGGAGGGCAGGTGTTGCTGCGCCCTCCCAGGGGCCGTGGGGCACGCCTGGGTCCATGCAGCAGGTGACTGGCAGGCTGTGCATCTGTGCACCAGTGTCACCTGCTGACAGGAACACGCGTGATGTCGAGTTTCCAGAGCCGTGTGGAGAACAGCCAGACAGAGGGAGGGCACCAAACAAGCGAAACGAGTTTGTCGTGTGTGTCGGTTATTAAAACATATCCAGGCCAGCGCCGCGGCTCACTAGGCTAATCCTCCGCCTTGCGGCGCCGGCACACCGGGTTCTAGTCCCAGTCGGGGCACCGGATTCTGTCCCGGTTGCCCCTCTTCCAGGCCAGCTCTCTGCTGTGGCCAGGGAGTGCAGTGGAGGATGGCCCAAGTGCTTGGGCCCTGCACCCCATGGGAGACCAGGAGAAGCACCTGGCTCCTGCCATTGGATCAGCGCGGTGCGCCGGCCGCAGCAGCCGTTGGAGGGTAAACCAATGGCAAAGGAAGACCTTTCTCTCTGTCTCTCTCTCTCTCACTGTCCACTCTGCCTGTCAAAAAAAACAAAAAACAAAAAACAAAAAACCTACCATATCCAGAATATTGCTGATTCACACATCAAGGGTGATCAGGAATTTCGCGTTACTGGTTTCTGCCCCGAGTCCATGGCCCTCCCTCTGGCATCACACTCAGTCTGACTCTCCAGAGGTACAGTCCACCCCACTGCAGACCAAGCTGAAAGACTCCGTTTAACTCCGGGTATGAGCTGACATTACACTCTAACTTGAGCCATCTGTGGCATCCTCTGAGGTCTTCCTGGAGCAGGTAGACTGGTGCCCGTCACCCAGCAGCAGTGAGCATCCACCTTGCCCAGATGCTGTGTCGTCGTCTTTTCCTCTTCCCAGTGTTCTGTTTTCTCCCAGTAAGGAAATGCGTTGCGCATGCGCAGATTTGTGTACAGTGCTGTGTTTTTGATGGGTGGAGTGTGATTTGTGCACAGGCCGTTTGTGATACTCGGTCCTTTGAGAAGCAGTTCTTTTGGAATACTTGCTCTGCTCATCGGTGGCGTTTTCCTTTGCAGAACCTCATGTGTTCCGAGTGTGGGGACGAGTTCACTCTGCAGAGCCAGCTGGCCATACACATGGAGGAGCACCGGCAGGAGCTGGCCGGGACCCGGGTGCACACTTGCAAGGCCTGCAAGAAGGAGTTTGGAACCTCGTCAGAGCTCAAGGAGCACATGAAGACTCACTACAAGATTAGGTAGGAGGTGTTGCCGGAGCTCGGAGCTCGCCACAGAGGCCGACGTGATGTGTAGTAGAAGCGGCTGCCTCCAGTCCGTCACGTGGAAATATTTGTTGCTTTAGAAACAAGCACACAGCAAAGTGTAACTGCACAGCCGAGTGGGGTCAGCATGGCCTCTGGCAGCATGGCTCATGTGTTCAGGAGGCAACGCCTCCAGGAGTTAGTGGGCAGAGGTGGGCAGCCGGCATGACCACGCCCGCCACGCTCAGGGTGGCTGCTGAGTGTTGCTGATGGCAGGTGGCCAAGCGTGTGAAGGCGTCTCGGCGGCCCCGGCCAGCACCTTCTGCAGTGAAGTGGTTTGTTGCTGGCAGTCGCTGGAGAAGGCACACGTGCCCAGCACGTGTGTTCTCAGCCTCATGCAAACGTGCGTCCTCCTCAGCTTAACCCTTTCTTGAGCATGTCACGTCTTCCCTCTTCTGTCCCTCTGCCCAGATCAGATGCGGTGCCATCATCTGTCACCTTACTGAGTTAGATTCTCCAGCAGACTCTAATAGCCGGTGTGCCTGGTGCCGGTGGCGAGATGCATCTCCGGTACCAGGTCGGAGCCCTGTGACCGGCCGGCTGCCCGGCGCACCATGCTCCACACAGAGCTCATCTCACACGGCGCTGTTGAACCGTGCCTTCTCCGTGCACCCCACATGCTTGCCTTGATGAAATTCCTCTTTTATGTTGATTAACAAGGTTTCATTTGCCTAAGTTGGTCTGCTTAAACTTACTTTTATTTTACATAGAAATTTATCATTTTTCTTGGCTGAAGATTTTAATAGTCATATGCACAAATGTAAATGCCTAAATGGCTTTATTTTATATATTTTTTATTTTTAAAAAGTTTCTGTTTAGCGTGCAACACGTGGGTGTACAGAATAAGCAGATCAGACGAGCAGCCATCTGCTCAGGTCCTGGATTTGCAGCTGTTCCTCTGCTGCAGTTCTTCCGGCACTGGGAGTCTGGGGCCGTGGTCGCCCCTCACTGGGAGTCTGGGGCCGTGGTCGCCCCTCACTGGGAGTCTGGGGCCGTGGTCGCCCCTCACCGGGCAGCACTGCACTGGGAGTCTGGGGCCGTGGTCGCCCCTCACTGGGAGTCTGGGGCCGTGGTCGCCCCTCACCGGGCAGCGCTGCACTGGGAGTCTGGGGCCGTGGTCGCCCCTCACTGGGAGTCTGGGGCCGTGGTCGCCCCTCACCGGGCAGCACTGCACTGGGAGTCTGGGGCCGTGGTCGCCCCTCACTGGGAGTCTGGGGCCGTGGTCGCCCCTCACCGGGCAGCGCTGCACTGGGAGTCTGGGGCCGTGGTCGCCCCTCACTGGGAGTCTGGGGCCGTGGTCGCCCCTCACCGGGCAGCACTGCACTGGGAGTCTGGGGCCGTGGTCGCCCCTCACCGGGCAGCGCTGCACTGGGAGTCTGGGGCCGTGGTCGCCCCTCACCGGGCAGCACTGGGGCCGTGGTCGCCCCTCACTGGGAGTCTGGGGCCGTGGTCGCCCCTCACTGGGCAGCACTGCACTGGGAGTCTGGCCCTCACCGGGCAGCACTGCACTGGGAGTCTGGGGCCGTGGTCGCCCCTCACTGGGGAGTCTGGGGCCGTGGTCGCCCCTCACTGGGAGTCGGGGGCCATGGTCGCCCCTCACTGGGCAGCACTGCACTGGGAGTCTGGGGCCGTGGTCGCCCCTCACTGGGGAGTCTGGGGCCGTGGTCGCCCCTCACCGGGCAGCACTGCACTGGGAGTCTGGGGCCGTGGTCGCCCCTCACCGGGCAGCGCTGCACTGGGAGTCGAGGGCCGTGGTCGCCCCTCACTGGGGAGTCTGGGGCCGTGGTCGCCCCTCACCGGGCAGCGCTGCACTGGGAGTCGGGGGCCGTGGTCGCCCCTCACCGGGCAGCGCTGCACTGGGAGTCGGGGGCCGTGGTCGCCCCTCACCGGGCAGCGCTGCACTGGGAGTCGGGGGCTGTGGTCGCCCCTCACCGGGCAGCGCTGCACTGGGAGTCGGGGGCCGTGGTCGCCCCTGTACTGGGAAGCACCTTTTAAAGTATTTCTTTATTTACTTGAAAGGCAGAGTGACAGAGCGAGAGAAATCTTCTATCTGTTGGTGTTCTATTCCAGGCTGGGTCACCTGGACTCTAGGAGCCAGGAACTCCATCTGGGTCTTCCACACGGATAGTGGGAACTCGAGTGCTTGGGCCATCATCTGTTTCCTCGCAGGGGCATTAGCAGGAGGCTGGACTGTACACATGGAGTGGCCAGGACTTGAACCAGGCACTCCCACACGGGACGTGTTGTCCTAAGCAGTGCCGCAGTTCCTGCCCCAGAATGTGCTATTCCTTTTTTTTTTTTTTTAATTTTAACATTTTTAATTTTATTTATTTGAAAGACAGAGTTTACGCATGCACACACACACACAGAGAGAGAGAGATCTTTTATCTGCTGGTTCACTCCCCAAATGGCTGCAACTGCCGGAGCTGGGCTGGTCTGAAGCCAGGAGCCAGGAGCTTCATCTGGATCTCCCACATGTGTGGCAGGGGCCCAAGCACTTGAGCCATCTTCTGCGTCTTTCCCAGGCCATTAGCGTGGAGTTGGATTAGAAGTGGAGTAGCCAGGACGTGAACCAGAGCCCATGTGGGATGCTGGCGTTGGCGGCAGCGGCTTTGCCTGCTACACCAGAAGGCGGGCCCCAGAATGTGTTTCGGTACCCATCGCCCAGCCTCCTCTTGTCCCTCTCTCCCCATCACAGTCTCTGGTAGTCACTGCCCTACCTTCACATAGATTGTCGTTACTATTGTTTTTAACTCTCATATAGGAAAGAAAACCAAAGGTTGCCTTCTGTGTCTAGCTTGGCATAAGGGTCTCCAGTTCTGTGCACTTCGCTGCAGATGTGAGGGTTCCATTGTTTCTGTGGCTGAGCACTGTGCCATTGGGTATGTGCACCCCACCTCCACGCAGCCACGCAGCCGCTGCGCACCCCAGCTGACACACTGTGCAGTGTGCGGGGAGTACAGGTATCTCTTCCATGCGCTGCATCTACAACCGGAAGTGCATTACCCGTGGCCTCTGTACTGTGCTCTGGGTTTTCTGTAACAGCTCTGCTCTTCTGCACCCCTCCGGGGGTGTGTGGGACTCCGAGTTCCCCGCGTCCTCGCCATTTTGGTAGTAGCCATTCTGACCAGAGCGAGATGGTATGAGATGGTAGGGCCTGGAGGTTTTGCATCTCTCTGGTGGTTAGTCTATTGAGCATGCTTTCACCTATTTGTTGGCTGTTTGTGTTTTGTCCTTTGAGGACTCTGTTCATATCCTTTAGCTGCATTGTTTGTTGTTGAATTTGTTTTGACTTCTTTGTATTCCTTGGTTTAATCCTTTGCCGGATAAATCACGTGTAGACGTTTTCTTCCAGCCTGTCAGCTGTTTCCTCACTGTGGATTACTTGCCTGTGCAGAAGGTTCTGAAGTTGATAGAATCCCGTTGACCGTTTTGCTTTTGCCGGCTCCCACAAGGCCAGGCCCAGGAGAGAGCAGCCATTTGCCTTGGAGCGCAGAGGAGAGGCTGCAGTTGTTGGAGGCTGGCGTTTGGACACTGTCAGTCCCAGGCGGTACTGGGAGCCGGGAGCCCGCAGCAGCCAGCACACACGCGAGTGGCCGTGGGCATCACACTGTGGGGCTGCCCGGGCGAGCTTTTTCTCAAGACTCTGCCTCCCCTGCCCTCTGCCCCCTGCCCGCTGTTCTGGCTGTCTGACCCGGAAAATCCAAGTTTCTCTTTTCATCAGAAATAAGTGAAACGGATTTGATGATATTGAATATGCAGAGCTAACACATGTGTACACACACAGACACACACACACACACGGTTGACTTACCATTGAAACGTGCTCCGATGACCACGCGGCTGAACTTCCTGGTGGGATTTGTGTTGGAATCTGTCCCATGGGGGACTCGTCCTAATAAGTGTTTCCCCTGCCTTGCAATAGGGTGTCAAGCACGAGATCCTATAATCGCAACATCGACAGAAGTGGATTCACATACTCGTGTCCACACTGTGGGAAGACGTTCCAGAAGCCAAGTCAGCTAACCCGGCACATCAGGATCCACACAGGTAGGGGAGCCTTGTCTTCTGCGTCTCGAGGGAGACTGCACCTGTGTCCTGGCGCAGGTCTGGCCTCTGCAGCTGCACACTGTCCTGATGAAGCTGCTGGCTCCAGCAGTGCTTTCCTCTCCTGCTGGAACTCAAGGCGGTTGGGCCGGTCACTGTCATAACTGACAGAGGAAGCCCGTGTCTAGTGCCGTGGGGAAGTGGCTGACGTGCAGCGGGCCGGCGGTGGCGGGAGGGGGCGCCGCTGGTGCTTTTTTGTTGGTGTGCTGTTTGCTCTCATTGAACCCACAGATGTTTATGGAGGGATGAAGTGTCAGGTGCTGTGTGAGGCTCATCAGATCTCAGTTAACAAAGAACACACTGGTCTCCATTTCCTCCTGTAATTTTGCCTTTGCTAACTGGGCTGTATAAACTCAGTAATAAAAATCTCGTTTCCCCATGCCTCATCTGGGTCCTTGCTCAGTTTTGCTCGGATGTCTGAGAATGAGCCGAGCACTCGTGGAGGGTTACTCTGCCTTGGCGCAGACCCCTCTGTCTTGGTATGAGGCCTGTCTGAGGAGGACGGAGGAGAACAGCACAGTGTCCGACTTGGCCGCTGCAGGCCGCGGAGGAGGCTCTGAGGGTCTGTGCGTGGCTGCGGTGTGTGCCAGCCCCTGCTAATTGTGCCACGCCTTGTGGCTTCTCCCCTTCTCCAGATTTCGGTGGAATGTCTCTGGGCTGTGTGCTGTAGGAAGATTTTGAAGATACCTGCCAAGGGGAAAAATTGTCTAAAACATGTGCTAATGCATTATTGTATTTGTGAAGTGCATACTGTAGTTTGTATGCCTTGGAGTCACAGTCAAAAGAGAAAACAGTTTAGAAAAAGGTTCACTTTCCCCCGAGCGGAGCTGTGAAGTAGGCGGTGGAGCGAGTTCTTCCCCGGCCCACTTCCTAGACGCCGTTTACCGTCGCCTGCCGCTTGTGTTCTTGCCCTGCGCCCAAGCCCCCTCCGCCCCAGAGGTGCGCGGGCACAGGCCGCACACCTGCCCCTGGGCTTTACACACCCTTGTTGCTGCCGCCTGTGGCCCGTGGGCCGCCTGCTCACCCAGCCCTGACAGCTCTCACCGGCCAGCGGGGGTCAGCAGGTGGAACCTGGCCTGTGAGGGAGGTGGGGGCAGTCATCTCGGGGTGCCACTGCCCCTCCTCTCACACACGAGCTGGGCTTGGTCTTGGGATGGAGGTGCCTCATGGCGGCATTGCGATGCAGTGAGGAGCCTTCTAGGGGGGCCATGGTGTGTCTGGGGGTGCAGAGCAGGCAGAATGTTCCCATTCCCAGGAAGGGCCTCCCGTGACCTGCAGCTCTCAGTGTGCGCCCTGGCTGCCCGCCCCTCCTCTCCTCACCCCTGCTTCCCACCTTAAAACAAGGCCATCTCCTGTTGGGGCCACTCTGAGGTTAGTATGTCCGATTCATTTATCAGCTCAGGTAAGAACCGTTCCCAGAAGCAGGGACCTGCTGTTTCTTCTGACTCCACTGCTTTCTTGTGGAGTCAGGGGAGGACGTTCTGGGCAGAGGGGCTTCAGAGGCCCAGAACGGAAACAAACGTGCCTGGTGTGTCCAGGGGCGGGGGCGTAGAGCAGTGGGAGTGGCTGGAGGTGGGTGGGAGGCTTGGCACAGGGGCCCTGGAGATGCTGCAACCCAAGCCTCTACTCAGAGTGGGCGGGGATGCCCTGGAGGGGTCTGAGCAGAGTGCTGCTGACTTAGACTGTGAAGTGTGAGAAAAGCGTGTGGAGGGCCAGAGTGGAAGCAGCGAGCCTGCCTCAGGGCAGCGGGGGTCCTGGGAGAAGGACGGTGCCACAGCCCAGGGTGCCCTGGGTGCATCTGGGAGGCAGAGAAAGCGAGGGAAGGGATGGCTGCAGGCCTTTATCCTGCTTGCCTGCATGGCCTGGGGCAGGTTTGGGAGGGGGTCCAGGGGCCAGCTTTGTAGGTGTTAATTTTGAGTAGACTTTTGTTAATGTGAGTCTAGAATCCCAGAGAGCTGTTTTGGCTGGAGGAATAGCTTTGGGCTGTTGCGTCTGGGTAACATGCATATTCTGCTTTCATTTGTGTAATGAGGAAGTGACTTTTGATGCCTTCTCTCTCTAGGTGAACGGCCATTTAAATGTAGTGAATGTGGAAAAGCTTTTAACCAGAAGGGGGCGCTGCAGACCCACATGATCAAGCACACAGGTGAAAAGCCCCACGCCTGCGCCTTCTGTCCGGCTGCGTTTTCTCAGAAAGGGAACCTGCAGTCGCACGTGCAGCGAGTTCACTCGGAGGTAACAGGCCGCTGGGGACCAGAGAACCCGGGAGTCTGACATTTCCTTAAAAAGGCGCTTGTGTGTGTGCCGAGTGGACCTTATCTCAGTAGATGTGTGTGTGGAACCTTTCTGGTTTGTTATTTATGGAAGAAACAGTAAATGCGGTCTCTGTCTTTGATGATGATTATGCAAATCATCCAAGTAGCTTTGTTGGTTACAGCTGCATCAGCCTGAATGGTGCATTTAATTCCTTCAGCAAACCTGAAACACGGACCCGTCAGGTGTAAGAAATTGAAAGACCGGGACTGAAAGGGAGGAAACAGCACTTTTCCCAGTGCTGCACTCTGATGTGCCCCCGGGGCGCCTTCCCGCCCCTCCCCCCAGAGCCCCGGACCCTGACCGGTGAGCAGCTTATGCCTGCTGTGTTCCCTCTCCTGCCTTCCTCTGGAAGCGGTTCTGTTAAGCAGCTGAACTTCACTAATTGTCCCATGTGATGTCTTATTCATAGGCTAATGGTAGAATATGAAGAAATCTTTAAGCAACACAAATAACTTTTATCATGAGTTAATTTATTCTGTAAAACTATTGTGCAAAATGAAAAGTCTGGTTTTCCTAAGGGCAGTGTATGTTTTTATTTGTTCCTTGGAGTAATACCTTAAATAATAAGTGAACTGAGAGTGAATTGTGTACTTTTATCCAAACCTAATAAAAACAAGAAACAGACATTATCTTTGCTCTTAAATGAGCAGAATAAAATTTAAAATGGAAAATCCTCACACACATCACATAGTTTCATAAGCAGAGTCAGTGAGGTACTTGAAAAAAATCTTTCTGGGGGTGGGCAGTGAACTGTTGAGACACCTGGGTCTAGTGTTGGAGTGCTTGTGTTGTTCCCCGCCCTAGCTCCTGAGTGCAGCTCCCTGCTAATGCAGGCCCTGGGAGGCAGCAGTGAGGGCCCAGCTAACGGGGTCCCTGCCCTCATGGGGAGACCTGGGTGGAGCTCCCGGCTCCCAGCTTCCACCCTGGCCAGCTCTGGCCGTGGCAGGCGTGTGGGGGCATGAAGCAGCAGACAGGAGCTCTGTCTCTTTGCTGCTTCTCTTGGTCTAGCTCTCAAGTAAGTAAACACAAAGGAAAAGAAATCTCCAAGGGTGTGTGAATAGTAGTGAGAAACTGATCATGTGAAGTGGGGAGTTGCCTCTGAGTGAAGGTGGCTGCTCACGGTAGAGAGAGAGAGAGACTGTGTGTGTGTGTGTGTGTGTGTGTGTGTGTGACACATACAATAGTCCCTCACTAAACCCCAGAACAGCCCGAGGTGCTCCCCAGGGCTGCTGGGTGACTGTGGACCTGTACAGGGTGGATTGTTCCAGAAAGTGCCTCTGGCCTGGTCTGTGGCTAGTGCCCTCTCCTGTGAGGTGTCCCGAGTGTCGAGCTGGCCTCCTAATGAGACGCCAGGTGTGGAATGGTGGACTGATGGAGCCTCCCTCGTCGCAGGGGTGACCGTGCTGGGCCGAGTGATCCTGAGAGAGCGTCTAGCGTGCTGTGTGTTCACAGGTGTTCTCGGTTGTCTCACTGCCCCCTGGAGTCTGTTTCCGGCTTCGTGGTCACGGTTATGTGGGATGTAAGCACTGGTGATGACAGCTCGCACTTGCTGTGCTCGTCCCTCCGGCCGTGTCAGCCGCGGCCCCCGAGCTCGCTCACAGCCATGCTGCCGTCTGACCGTGCTGCCTGCGCTACTGAGTGATGGTCAAGCCGCATAACAAATGGGGAACGTCTCAGACATGACAGCCGTGCTGTTTTCATTAAACTGCCTGAGTAACTGAAAGACGTTTCTGCACTCTTGAATCACTTGTAATTCACAGGAAAGATGTCCGTTTCAGTGGTCTGGCACTGGCAGTTCGAGCAGAGTTGGGTTGTTGGTGTTAGATGCCATGGAAGGGTACACTGCTCCTGTCGCTCTGGAGGGGATGCTGGGTGATGTCGAAGTCTGCCTATCTAACGGCTGTAAAAAGGCTCTGCTTCCTTGTGTCTTTCCTCAGGTCAAGAACGGGCCCACCTACAACTGTACAGAGTGCAGCTGTGTGTTCAAGAGCCTGGGCAGCCTAAACACCCACATGAGCAAGATGCACATGGGCGGGCCGCAGAGCACCGCGCGCCCCGCAGAGACTGCCCACGTCCTAACGGTGCGTCTAGGGGGCTGCTGCCGGGAGGCCGCTGCTTGCCCGGGGCCTCTGCCAGTGGACCATGTAAAACCCAGAAGGTGCCATGTGGACATAAGGTGGCTGTGTTTCTAGATGTCCCAACTGATGGACTGTCAGTGACTGTTCAGAATGAGATGTATGTTGTCATTTGTACAGTCAGTGTCACTGAGGATTAACTGCGTTATCTTTCCATTATAATTTACCTTGTATAGGTGACATTTCTCCGTTTCTAGTGTGACAGTGATGATTTTTTGCTAGCCCTTTTGTGAAAATAAATTCTCTTTTCCAGTACATACATTTAAAAATTGCATGCCTTCAAGTAGACACACATACATACACGTACAGACATTACCCCTACACATAGCACACACACAGACACACAGAGATGTTACCGCTGCACGCAGTGCACACAGACACACACAGAGACATTACCCCTACACACAGCACACACACACAGACACACACACACAGACGTTACCCCTCCACGCAGCACACACACACACAGACACACACAGACGTTACCCCTCCACGCAGCACACACACAGACAGACACACACACAGACGTTACCCCTACACATGGTACACACAGACACACACACACAGACATTACCCCTACACACAGTACACACACACACAGACGTTACCCCTACACATAGTACGCAGACACACACACAGACGTTACCCCTACACATAGTACACAGACACACACACACACACAGACGTTACCCCTACACACAGTACACACACACAGACACACACAGACGTTACCCCTACACATAGTACACAGACACACGCACAGACGTTACCCCTACACATAGTACACAGACACACAAACACACACAGACGTTACCCCTACACACAGTACACACATACACAGACACACACAGACGTTACCCCTACACACAGTACACACACACACACAGGCACACACAGACGTTACCCCTACACACGGTACACACAGACACACACACACACAGACGTTACCCCTACACACAGTACACACACACACACAGATGTTACCCCTACACATAGTACACAGACACACACACACACAGATGTTACCCCTACACATAGCACACACAGACACACACACAGACGTTACCCCTCCACGCAGCACACACGCATGCTTCTGTCCTTTTGTGTTAGGCTCAGCTGTTACTTCCACGCTACCCTCTCAGTTGATCAGAGTAGGCAAAACCTAAACGTGGCCTATGGCACCTTATGAGGCGTTGCCATTAAACACAGAGATCTCGGAAATCTTGGGTGAGCCCCAGATGCGGCTAGAGTGTGGCACCCAATGGGTAGCGGCTCAGCAGTGCTCCATGCGCCCAGGGCTCGTGTGAAGTCCACATCCGCCTCCTGCCAGCATGGCACGTGGGCCCCGGCAGGGCCGGCTTGCCAGCACTGGGTTCACTTGCAGTGTCTGTCTGGCACGTGGGCCCCGGCAGGGCCGGCTTGCCATCACCAGTCCTTTCACTGCCCTTTCTTGCCTCCTGCCTTTGCAGCCTGCTCCAGTTCTTGGTCTCTTCCTGATCAGGGAGAATGTTGCACGCTGGAGAGTAAGGTCTAATAGTAAAGTCTTGAGAATTGTGTTTTGAATTGAGTATTCTTTATGTTAAAAATTCAGGGTGTAAATTAACCAAATATTAAGAGTTTTCATGGTTTCCGCTGGCAATATGCAAGTCAAAATGTGGATGCATTGTTGAATAACCTGAAGTAATAATTCAGATTATTTTAAAGTTCATGTTCTCAGTACAAAACGGAAATAGCAGGGCAGGGGTGGAAGCCTGGCTGCCCGCCGCCCGCCGCCCTCCCGGGGCTGTTTGTGGCACGGCAGGGCAGGTGCACGTCCTCCCGCTGCTGCCCGGCGTCAGTGTCCTGCCCCACGGCTGGTTCTGCACGCTCCTGATCTTCCGACCTCCGCTTTGGAGACGTCCTCTGCTTCCTGTGGTGGCCACACTTTTAATTTCCTTGTATTCATTTGTCTGTTTGTAATCAGATTTCTAATTTCTGAGACTCTGCTTGTGACCTGGTCGCCGCTGCCTCAGGACATTTGCTGGGGTTGAGGCACTTTCCTCTGGGGTCTAGTTACAGGGGTCGTCTCCCCTCCCTGTCTCCTGCGTGCTGGGAGATGCAGCGGCCAGCCCCGTACCCACTTCCCACGGGGCAGGGCCAGGCAACCAGCTCCCACCGTGGGGACCTGGGGCAGTACCCAGGGTGGTCGTGTTCGGCCGAGGCGCCCTGGTCCTCCCCAGGCAGGCTGTGCGAGCTAAGCCCTTGCTGCACCTGTCCTGCAGAGGACAAGGGGCTTCGATTTTGGGACTAAGTAATTTTTCTGCTGTTTTTTTCTTTTATTAAGACAGTTTTGGTAGAGCAGTTTGAGGTTTATAGGAAATTTGAGCAGAAGTTACAGAGAATCCCCGTGTCCCCCTGTCCCTCGGTTCCCCCGTTGCTGACACCACACTTTGGCGTGGTTCGTCGGGACTGTGTTCAGCTGCAGCCCGTGGTCTCCCGAGGGCTGGCGGGGTGTGCGGCCTGTGGAGGTAGCGCCCAGGGCCCCAGCTCCACCGTCTCCCCGTTGCCTGAGTTCCTGCGGGAACCCCAGCCCAGCCCCTCCTCGCGTGTTCTTGGCTGTAGCATTATGGAGTTTATTCCTCCAGTGTCCCTGTTTTTCAGAAGTTTGTAGAATTTCTTTGACCTCAGCGGTTCCTTATTTTTAGATTTTGTGGGTTTATACTTTTTAAGTTCCTTCCCTCTGTTAGTGGGCCAGCAGGAAGATGCAGGCCTGTGTGTTAATGACCCCTGGACTTTGCCGTCGGCACTGCGAGCTTCAGGCCTGTGGAACGGCACAGCTCACCGAGGTTGTTCTGTTAATAGCCAGTATTGTGTGTCGCAGGAAAATCGGCAAAGCTGGCATTTAAAATTGAAGTTTAGGATAGCGAGGTTTTCAGGTTCTTTAGAACATTGCCTGTTTTTCTTTTCTATTTTTAATCAAAGAGCAGAATTGTATATTTATTCATTGATGTATTTCAATGCAACATACAAAGTGTATTTAACAACATGACAGGGAGACTCAAGCAGGCCCTTGGGTTGCCCCTCTTCCAGGCCACCCCTCTGCTGTGGCCCGGGAGTGCAGTGGAGGATGGCCCAGGTCCTTGGGCCCTGCACCCCATGGGAGACCAGGAGAAGCACCTGGCTCCTGCCTTCGGATCAGCGCGATGCGTCGGCCGCAGCGGCCATTGGAGGGTGAACCAACGGCAAAAGGAAGACCTTTCTGTCTCTCTCTCTCTCACTATCCAAAAAAAAAAAGAAAGAGAGAGAGAAACTGGCCAGAGCTATAGGCTCCTAGCAGCTGCATCTGCCTGTGCCCAGTGGCTGTGAAGGACATGCAGCGCCCCCTCATGGACACATGTGGGAAGGCGCTCACTGAGACCCCCAGATGGAGGAGCCTTCCAAGGGGAGCACAGGGTCCTGCGGTGCCCCAGGGGCTCGGCTGGGTGCTAGGCCTCCCCCACGCCCCTCAGGGCACCGCAGGGGCTTGGGCGCCTGTTGGGAAGCTGCTCTGGGTTCCGTGAGGCTGGTGGAGGGCTTGTGCCAGTGGCCGTCCTACGGGGGACCGTGTTTCTGACGGCCGCGTTGCTCTGTTTCAGGCCACACTCTTCCAGACTATACCACTGCAGCCGGCGGAGGCCCAGGTTGTGTCCACGGCGACTCAGCAGAACTCCCAGGCGGTGACCGACGTCATCCAGCAGCTTCTGGAGCTCTCAGAGCCGGGGCCTGTGGAGTCCAACCAGTCCCCGCAGCCAGGGCAGCAACTAAGTATCACCGTGGGCCTCAACCAGGACATCCTCCAGGTGAAGCCCGGGGCCCGTCGGAGACAGGGCTCGCTGCCGGGGACCCAGAGAGCAGGGCTTGCAGTCAGGTGTCCTCACTGAAAGCTGTCTGAATAGAAAAACGTAGAACCAAAGGAGCTTGTCCAGCGGCTTATGGGCAGTGTAGACTTCTCCATGCTGTTAATCTAAGTTAAAGGAAGCCGAGAGCAGGCTTCTCCAAGCTTCTCTGGGGTTGGCCCCTGTGGGTGGAGGTGGCGGGAGGCTCTGCTGTGCTGCTGCCCGGCAGGCATGGGTGTCCCCAGAACAGTGCAGGCCCAGGGCAGGGGACGAACAGTGGGCCCAGAGCTCGCCTCTCTGTCTGACCCCCGCCCGGAGTGGCCGCTGAGCCTCTTCACTTCCAGACATGGGTGCCTCCCCCCACTCTCGGCTGTTTGTGTGAACCAGACTCCTGCATCTTCCTGGTGACAAGGGGGCCAGGGGTGTGCAGTCTGGGTGTCTCCAAGGTACACTCGGTGACCCTAGGCTGCCCACATTATCCCAGGTCAGACTCCTAGCAGTGAAACTGATTAACTTCGCTTCCCCTTAGTGTAGAGATGAATGAAAGCTTAAGCTTAATGTCCGGGTTGCGGGGGGCTGTCAGACCCCGAAGGGATGTTTCTGGCCCAGCCTGGGCAGCCTGGCTTACACGCGAGGACTCGGAATTGCAGGCTTTTAGTTTTTGGAGTGGAGTGAGATGTGGTGGGGGAAGCTTTGTGATGTCTTGTGATTGACTTTGGCAGGCAGACCTGGGCCGTTGCATCTTCTAACCTTTTAGTTCTGTTCTGTCTCAGCAAGCCTTAGAAAACAGTGGGCTGTCTTCAATTCCAGTTGCAGCACATCCCAGCGACGCCAGCCACGCCAAGGCCTCAGCCACACAGACTCAGAGCCCAGATGTTTCCAACGTGTCCACCGAGCCAACAGACCCCCCAGATGCAGAGCAAGAGAAAGAACAGGAAAGCCCAGAGAAGCTGGATAAAAAAGAAAAAAAAATTATGAAGAAGAAATCACCATTTTTACCCGGTAATTGTTTCCGGGTGCCAGCTTTGGGTGTCCTGGAAGGCGCTGATGTGGGTCTGGTTGCTGCAAGTCTGGCTCGGCTGCCCTGGAGTGGTATTTAGCGTGGCATTGTGGCAGCTGTGACGTATCTTGAATCCGGCCTGGCCCCCTGGTTGCCTTCTTTCCGGTGGCTCGTCTCCCGCCGCGTCCCAGGCCTGAGTGAGGAGCGCTCTGAGTGTTCTTGAGATCACTGCTTCCTTCGGTTCCTGCCCCTGGCGCCTGGTGCACCGTGGCTGCCTTGCCTTCCTCCTCGTTTGCACCTGTGTGTTGCGCGTGCCGACTCCCGCGGGGCTCGCCCATCTCACCTCTCCTCTCTGAGTCTGGGCGCCTGCCCCGCCCTCATCACAGTCTTCCTCCACTGTTCGGCCACGGGGGCGGAGCTGGATTCCTGCGTGTCTCACATCCCCGCGTTTCCTGGACGCGCTTTTCCGCATCCACAGCCCTGTGCTGCTCTGCCTCCGTTCTCCCTGCTGGCCTGGGCCACCCCAGTGCTGCCTGCCCTGCGCTCCTCCCCCCACCCCCGGCACCCGGCCTCTGTGGGTCTCGGGCGTCTCAGTGCTGCCTGTTCTCTTGTGAGCCCACAGTGCGTCCTGTGGAGCCGGCATTTACCGGGTCTTCCCTGTCTTCCTGGCACACTGCTCTTAGGAGACTTCTTCCTGGCACGTGGGCAGCAGGAGCTTTCCCACTGCTCGGCCTGGGGCGCTCTTCCCTGGAGTGTGGTAGTGGGGTCCGGCTCTCCGTTCCCTGCGTGCAAAGTAGGGTGCTGGGGTCTACGCGGCGTAGCCCCTGGGACTTCTGGGCTAAGGGGGGCGAGAAAGGAGGAAGAGAAGCCATTGCCGCACTCTGATTAGCTCTGTGTCTCGTGGGTTGTGGGTGTCTGGTGCTGGGGCGAGCGGGGGCTTGGGTGCGCACATCCCGTGTCTGCGTGCCCGTTGGAGTGCTGGGCTAGCTTCTTGCCGCTGCACCCCGGGAGGCAGCAGGTGCGGGCTCAGGTGTGTGCTCCCGGCCACCCACCTCAGAGGCCTCGACGGAGTTCTGGCTCCTGGCTTTGGCCCGGCCCCGTCTCTCTGTCTCTCGCTGTCGATCTTGCTCTTTGAAATAGGTGAAAATAAACAAGCACATAAGAAAGTCCCCAGATGTTTTGTGTTAAATTTGTTCTCACTGATATTTACGCCTCAGGCATCCCGTGAGGAAGTGTCTGAGCTGTGCGGGTCGGGGGCGGCAGTGTGCGCCGTCCGCCTGCTAGGGTTTCGGCAGGGACGCGGTCAGTTGCTGGCCTTCCGGGCTGTCTTTCTGGCTGAGTCGTTGGAGCTCTTGTGCTTTCTGGATGTTAATGCTTTGCTGTTAAGTGTGCTTCAAGTCTCTTCTGCAGCTGAGTGCCCCCTCACTCTGCGGTGTATTTGATGAGTAGATGAATTCAGCCACTCACGTTTAATGAAGCTAAATTGACCAGACTGTATAATCCAGGCGCCTGGTATCTGGTTTAAGAAATTCAAAAATCAGCCGTTTGCATTTAATTTGGCCATTTCCCTGGCCCTTATTGTGGTGTGTGATGTGTTACGAGGCTGGCATCTTGGGTTTTCTGTTCTGATCATGTGGGTAATAGTTGTCCAGCGCCTTGTGCTGAGAACTCTGTCCCCCGCAGCCGCGTGCACCGTGAGCTTGGTTTTCTTCCTGGTGTCAGCTCTAGGCTCTCGGCGTGGGCCGCGTGTGTGCGTCTGTGCTGCTGTGCGTGGGCGTGGATGCCTTGGGGGCACGGTGTCTCTCGCGCCTGCGAATGCCTTTCCCTGCTGTGCTGCAGGCAGGTCTTGCACATCCTTTGTACGACTTACTCTTCTTTGTTATTTTCTTTGTTGTTGCTGGAAACCAGGGGCGGGCAGTGTCCAGCCTGCGGGCCACTTCAGGCCTGCAGAATCATTTCCTCCGACCCTGGCCAGGAACCGCAGGTGGGACTCGAGATTGAACTTGCTCTCGTGCCTGGCTTTGGCTCCTCTTTCTGTTTGGGAACCGTGCCTCCAGTGAGGGCCTCCGTGGCAGGCAGGGGCTGCCCACAGAGCTGAGGCATCCGGAAGTGCTTGAGCCTGCACTCCCTGCAGGACCCATCAGCATGGCGGCCGCCCCCACCCTCCCTGTGGGACCCATTGGCCTGGCGGCTGCCCCCCACCCTCCCTGAGGGACCCATCAGCCTGGCGGCTGCCCCCCACCCTCCCTGAGGGACCCATCAGCCTGGCGGCTGCCCCCGCCCTCCCTGAGGGACCCATCAGCCTGGCAGCTGCACCCCCCCGGGACCCATCAGCATGGTAGCCGTCCCCGCCCTCCCTGCGGGACCCATCGGCCTGCGGCTGCCCCCAGGGAATACCTGCTGTTTCTGAGCGGTGGCTGTTTCCCAGGGGAGCCTCGCTCCTGCAGCCTCGCCCGTGAGTGAGGAGGGCAGGGCCCCTGCTGCTCTGCCCTCCATCCCTCCCAAGGCAGCCTTTTACCACACGTGGGCGGGGAAGGTCACCTACGTGGACGTTATTTTCAAGTCGTCTTTTTCTGCCTACTACCTGATTTTTCAAAGTGCCTGAGTCGCATTCTGTTCAGTGAGTACATCACGATTCGTCATGCGCTGCTGAGGAAGTGAAGGGCTATTGAAGTTACCTGCAGACTTTTGCTGCAGTGGGTGTGTCATCAGCATGTGTCCGTGTACCTGTAGGAGGCATCTCCAGAAGTGTTGGGAGCTTTGAAGGGTACATCATATAAGATGGTCGTAAGGTTATAATTTTGAGATAATTTCATTTTTTCTCCTGAATTTTCTGAGAGAGACTTGTAGATACCACAGAGCTTCAGAAAATTCTTAGAAAAAATAAAAATGCAAAATTTCCTTGAATTTTTGAAGCCCTTCATGTAATATCCTAAATGCTTTCTAATTCCCTAAATAACTCTACACCCGTGAGCTTGCATTTCCTAAAATCAAGGCTGTCCTCCTTCATCACCATGGTGCCGTCATCAGTACCAGGACGCTGGTGCACGGCCCTCACTCAGTCACTGTGTCAGTAAGTGCCCGGAACGCAAGGAAGGCAGTCTTGTCCGTCCTCTGAGTGCTGACAGCAGAGTGGAGTCACAGCCCAAGCCCAGCCTCTCCACAGGCTGCGCTCAGCTAAGCTGATGGGTTAGAAAATGGCATCCTAGTGTCCTTTTAATCTGCATTTTCTTACAAGGAGTGGGGTGAGGGCCTTTCATGTAAAGAAAACCTGTGTTTTTCCTTTAGACTAGTTCTTTTTTTAAAAATACTTATTTATTTATGTGAGATGTAGAGTTACAGAGAGAGGAAGAGACAGAGGGAAAGATTTTCCATCCACTGGTTCACTCCCCAGATGGCCACCAATAGCTGGAAGTGGGCCAATCCGAAGCCAGGAGCTTTTTCTGGGACTCCCATGTGGGCATAGGGGCCCAAGCACTTAGGCCATCTTCTGCTGCTTTCCCAGATGCATTAGCAGGGGCCTGGATCAAAGGTGGAGCAACGGAGACTTGAACCGGTGCCCGTAGGAGATGCTTGTGCCACTGGTGGAGGCCTTGCCCACTATGCACAACGCCAGCCCCTTGACTAATCTTACTTTTTGTTGGCTGTGATACCCCGAAGATGATGGTGTTTTGCCAGCTGTTTTTGTAACATGCTTGTTTGTCTTTTTGACCATTTTGATTTTATGTGGGTTCTTCATCTGAAATGTGTGTCTGTTTCCATTTCTTTAGGTGAATAAAGCTAATCAGTTAAAAAGGCAAAAGGAAGCCTCCTGGACTTTTTTAAGATTTTAATATTTCAGAGATCATTTTACTTAGTACATTTTCTTTTCTTTTTTTTTTTTATTTTTTTTTATTTTTTGACAGGCAGAGTGGACAGTGAGAGAGAGAGACAGAGAGAAAGGTCTTCCTTTGCTGTTGGTTCACCCTCCAATGGCCGCCACGGCTGGTGCGCTGCGGCCAGCGCACCGCGCTGATCCAATGGCAGGAGCCAGGTACTTCTCCTGGTCTCCCATGGGGTGCAGGGCCCAAGCACTTGGGCCATCGTCCACTGCACTCCCCAGCCACAGCAGAGAGCTGGCCTGGAAGAGGGGCAACCCGGGACGGAATCCGGAGCCCCGACCGGGACTAGAACCCGGTGTGCCGGTGCCGCAAGGTGGAGGATTAGCCTAGTGAGCCGCGGCGCTGGCCTACTTCGTACATTTTCATGAACTTTATGGAGATTGTTCTTCAGTTGGAAATAGTTTTAAATTTTATTCAGAGTTGAATAGTATTTTGAGTTGTAAAAGATAAAACTTATTTGATCTGGAATTCTGCAATATCAAATGTCCTGTTTCTTGGTCTTAATTGTAAATTCCATTTCATGGATGAAGGAATTACTGCTGCGCCATTATTTGCATTTGTGTTATCATCTTGTGATATCAGAGAGGCTCGGGGAATTCCTGCTGTACCTCCGCCCTCCTCGTGGTGTTCTGAGTGAGCCGGGTGTTAGTGATGGCATCCCTCCTGTTCCCGAGCGAGAGCCCATCTGCCCTGCGGGCTCCTGGTGGAGTCCTGTCGCCTGTTCCCGTCACTCTTGTTCCCTGTGGGCTGGGGATTGTGTCCGTGTGGACTCCCGGGGTCTTGTGCCGGGGCAAGCCGCAGTCCTCAGTGACTGCTGGCCGAGACTCTGCGGCGGGTGCCGCGCCTGCCTGTTGCCGTGCTGCACCTCTGGGCCCAGCTGTGCTGTCTTCCGTCCCCTCGCTGCAGGCTCCATCCGAGAGGAGAACGGGGTGCGGTGGCACGTGTGTCCCTACTGCACCAAGGAGTTCCGGAAGCCCAGTGACCTGGTGCGCCACATCCGCATCCACACGCACGAGAAGCCCTTCAAGTGCCCGCAGTGCTTCCGGGCCTTCGCGGTGAAGAGCACGCTGACGGCGCACATCAAGACGCACACGGGCATCAAGGCCTTCAAGTGCCAGCACTGCATGAAGAGCTTCTCCACCTCGGGCAGCCTCAAGGTGCACATCCGCCTGCACACAGGTGCGCGCGCGTGTGGCGGGTGCCTGCGCCCGGAGCAGGGCGGAGAGGGGGGCCTGGACGAGTGGCGCTTAGAGATGGACATAGGACTGCAGGGTGAAGAGGCCCCTCCTGGGGAGCCAGATGGAGAGTAGCCTTAGACTGGGTGAGTTCTCCAAGGAGACCCCCTAGGACCCGTGTGGGGGACCCGTGGTCTTGAGGCGGCAGAGGGGGAGGCTTGGCCCCTTGGGGCCAGGGCCCTTTCGCAGAGGCCTTCAGCAGGAAGGCAGCCGAGAGCGTCGCCCTACCCTGCGGTGCCTCTCAGCACGGATGCTGTGTGGGCTCCACGTTTCCTTAAGGAACAGCATGACTGAGATCTAATTCACGCATCGTAAATTCTCTCCTTGAAAGAACACGATTCACAGTTGTGCAGCCCACACCACTGAACAGTTTTGTGGCATTTTTATCACCCCCGTGGAAGCCCGTGTTTGCGAGCAGCGTCTCCGTGTGCTCCTTTAGCATGCCCTGGCTGGGCTAGCCCTGGCGTTACTCAGTTGTTGTCTGGGATCTGCACTGTCATTCCCTCAGACAAGGGGGGGATGCAGCGGTGGGGGACAGTGAGGGCCGGTCCCCACCGTCATTCTCATCACTGCTTAGAGCCAGCAGCAACCACTTGGCACTGGCTTGTAGACCACCAGGTGCGGTGTGGCATCCCAGCAGCCCCCTGAGAGAGCCGGGAGGGTGGGGTGGGGGTCTGGGTGCTCTCTGTGCTGTGCAGTTCTGCAGGACTGCTTGCTGGCTGTCTCCATGTCTGTTAGAGTTTCAGGCTTTGTCCTGAAAACAGTCAATGTTCCTTTTTATTTAACATTCTCCTGTTGCATGCCTTAACATCTCTAATACGCATTGTACAAACATGAGGGAAAATAGAACAGTGGATGAAGTCCTTGAAATTGCAGGCATGGAACAGCAAACTGAATGTTCAGCAGGGTTGGAGTGCGGTGTTTTCTGTTGGCACTCTTTGTTGAGGTGCCGTTCCTTGAAATGATTCTAAAGTGTGCTGTTATTTTTCTCAGGAGTGAGACCTTTCGCTTGTCCCCACTGTGACAAAAAGTTCCGAACCTCAGGCCACAGGAAGACCCACATTGCCTCCCACTTCAAACACACGGAGCTGAGGAAGATGAGGCACCAGCGCAAGCCTGCGAAGGCCCGTGTTGGCAGAACGAACATGCCTGTCCCCGATATTCCTTTGCAGGAGCCCATTCTCATAACCGACTTGGGTAAGGCGGATGGCAGTGCTCTTGGGATTGGTCCTGTGCTCTTTGCTCTGGGGCCCCGTGTAGGATGTGGCCTTGGGGTGGTCCATGTGGCTGGGTAGCATGAGGACTTAGCATGGCCCATGTGGCTGGGTAGTGTGAAGACTTAGTGTGGTCTGTATGGCTGGGTAGTGGTAGGACTTAGCATGGCCCATGTAGCTGGGTAGTGTGAAGACTTAGCGTGGTCTGTATGGCTGGGTAGTGGTAGGACTTAGCATGGTCCGTGTGGCTGGGTAGTGGTAGGACTTAGCATGGTCCGTGTAGCTGGGTAGTGTGAAGACTTAGCGTGGTCTGTATGGCTATGTAGTGATAGGACTTAGCATGGTCCATGTGGCTGGATAGAGGTATGACTTAGCGTGGTCCATGTGGCTGTGTAGCAGTATGACTTAGCGTGGTCCATGTGGCTATGTAGTGGTAGGACTTAGCATGGTCTGTGTGGCTGGGTAGTGTGAAGACTTAGCGTGGTCTGTATGGCTATGTAGTGGTAGGACTTAGCATGGTCCATGTGGCTGTGTAGCAGTATGACTTAGCGTGGTCCATGTGGCTGTGTAGCAGTATGACTTAGCGTGGTCCATGTGGCTATGTAGTGGTAGGACTTAGCATGGTCTGTGTGGCTGGGTAGTGTAAACTTAGCGTGGTTTATGTGGCTGGGTAGTGGTATGACTTAGCATGGTCCTTGTGGCTGGGTAGTGTGAGGAGTTAGCATGGTCTGTGTGGCTGGGTAGTGGTAGGGTTTAGCATGGTCCACCTGGTGTCCAGAACTAAAACCTGTAGAAAAATGATCTCTCAGAACTGGAATAAAACTGGGAGCCACGCTGTCCTGGTCTGTCTGTGCTCCTCCCACAGTTCCGGAGGCTGGACGCCTAGGATCTGGGTGTGGGCGGAAGTGGTGTCTGCGAAGGGCCTTTTCTCTGAGCCACTGCCCCCTGGCTGTGTCCGCACGTGGCAGAAGGAAGGGGAAGGGTCTCCAGGCCCCACCTCTGATTGTTGCCACATTGGGAGTAGGCTTCAACATGTGGCCTATAAGCGTACAGTCGGTCTGTGTGTGAATTTACACTTCTTATTTTTTAAACATTTATTTTTAAGATTTCAGTTATTTATCTGAAACTCAAAGCTATAGAGAGAGAGGGAGAGAAAGCGTGATCTTCCATCTGCTGCTTCAGTCCTGAGATAGCCACAATGGCCAGCCTGGGCCAGGGCGAAGGCAGGAGCCAGGAGCTTCTTCTAGCTCTCTCCCATGGGTGGCAGGGGCCCAAACCCTTGGGCCGTCTTCTGCTGCTTCTCCTAGACCCGTCGAAGGGATCTGGATTAGAAGCGGAGCAGCCAGGATACCAATTGGCACCCATGTGGGATGCAGGCGTAGCCAGTGGCAGCTTTACTGGCTAGGCCACAATGCTGGCGCCTCTGTCTGCCCTTTCCCAGGCACACTACAGGGGATCTGGATTGGAAATAGAGCAGCCAGGACTCGAACCTGCCCACATGGGATGCCAGCATTGCGGGAGGCTTCACCTGCTGGGCCAGCCCCGAGTCCTGAGTCCTGAGGGTTCAGTGGGATGCCTGGGTCCTGTTGGCATCACAGGTGCCTGGGTCTTAGCCTGGTCAGTGGAAGCTGAGTTCTCCCGTGTCTGGGCCGAGGACGGCGGGTGGGAGTGGTTCTGGGAGGTGGCGTGATGGTTTCTTTCCGTGTCTGGCTTCACTGTTATTTCTGTTTGTGTCATCACTTCTCTGACTTTGAGTACCCCGGGGCCAGAGCAAGGATGCTGCTCTCCTCATCTGTGTGGGAAGGATTCGGATAGAAACTTGATGGGGAGAGGGTTTAGGTATAGAATTCTCACAGCGACTCGGCTTACTGGGACAAGTCTGGATATTCCAGTCCCACAGAGTTCCTTAAACCACAGTGTGTTGTACACCAAGACTGTCACTTTAAAAGAATTAGGGTGCACTACCAGTACTCTACCAGGTGATTTAATCTCTGGTCAGCAGGGATAGATGGGCCTGAGGCACTGGAGGCCAGGACCCCAGGCCACGGCTCAGCTGACAGAGGAGAGGCTGGCAGGAGTGGGTGTGTGCAGGGCGCGCTGTGGTGTCGGGAGGGGATCTGGGACGCAGAGTTGTGGCTTCCAGGGCCACAGCAGAAAGGGCTGCAGGAACTGGAGAGGCAGGTGGGTGGTTTCTCAGGTCAGTGGCGGGAGGCCTGTACTCGTGGAGGATGGCGTGGATGTGGAGGACGGTCCCCGCCCTTGCTGCGGGCTGCAGTCTGGTAGCCGGGTGTGCTGGCGACCAGGCATCTCCAGAGGAGACTGTGGGTCACTTTGCTTCAGGGGAGGCTGGAGTGTCAGCAGCGGTGGCTGTGTGAAGACCCCGGCATCAGCCGTAACCAGGAGCCTGGAGAGCTTGAGGCTTGCCTGCTGTGGTGAGCTTGGTGTCCAGGTGGCTGTAGGAAGCCCACACCTGGGGCCTCCCTTGGGCCCTGCCTTGCAGTCTGACTGCCTGGGAAGCCTTGAGCATGCCTCGTCCTTGCTCCTCAGACAGATTCTCTTTTTTTTTGTTTAAAGATTTTATTTATTTATTTGAGAGGTGGAGTTACAGACAGAGAAGGAGAGACAGGAAGGTCTTCCTTCTGCTGGTTCACTCCCCAGATGGCCGCAACAGCCAGAACTGGGCAGAATCGAAGCCAGGAGCCAGGAGCTTCCTCAGGGTCTCCCATGCGGGTGCAGGGGCCCAAGCACTTGGGCCATCTGCTGCTTTCCCAGGCCACAGCAGTGAGCTGGATTGGAAGGGGAGCAGCCGGGACTAGAACCAGAGCCCACATGGGATGCCGGTGCTGCAGGTGGAGGGTTAGCCTAGTAAGCCACAGCGCCAGCCCCCAATGCTTTTAATGTGGGAAATGACAGAAGCCAAACAGGCTTTCCTGTTCGTGGAGTGCACTGTTTCTTCCCCTGTGAAACACGTGAAACTGCTGTTGGGCGGCTCTTAGTCTTAACAATTAGGAGGTGAATGTGGAATTCCTGGTCCCTCTGCTTCACTGGAATTCTGTTTCTCTCGCTTTGATGAGTTTGATTATAATTACTTATAATTATTTCATATTCAGTATCTTTCTGTCTTACTGCTTTTGGTATAACTTATCTAATGAACAGTATGAATCAGTCTTCCTAGTTGTATGTCACACAATTCACTTTAGTGCTAAGGGGAGAATTCTAACAATTCTGTGTTGCTGGGGCCAGCTGCTGCTGCAGCACCAGCATCCCATAGCGGACTGCTGGTCCAAGCCCGGCTGTTCCTCTTCTGACCCAGTCTGCCGCTGAGGTGCGTGGGCAGGCAGTGGAAGATGGCCCAAGCGCTTAGGCTCCTGCCCTCCTTGGAGGAGGCCAGGATAGAGCTCCTGGCTTCTGCCCGGCCCAGACCTGGCTGTGGCGGCCATCTGGGGAGTGAACCAGCAAGATGGAGGATCTCTCTGTGTCTCTCTCTCAGTCACTGCCTTTCAAACAAATGAATAAGTCTTTTTAGTGAAGTGGTCTGAGAGACCATTCTATTAAGTTCAACAAGGAGCAAGAAAATAGCCAATCAGATGTTATTTGAAACTTATAATTTTTTTTATTTTTTAATTTTATTTGGGGGATAGAAAGCAAGAGCTCCCATCTACTGGTTCATTCCCTCAAATTCCCACAAGGGTCAGGGTTGGGCCAGTGGCTTGAGCTCAATCCAGGCCTCCACACCAGTGGTAGGAACTCAGTTACTTGAACTATTACCCATGGCTCTGTCCTCACTGGCAGGAAACGGGTCAGGAGTGGAACTGGATATTGAACCCGTATGAGATTGTACTCTGCTATGAAACGTGGGCATCTTCACCACTGATTAGGTTTAGTACACTTGGTAGACTTCGGGCATTATTCTTATTTGCCATTTTGGTGAATATTCACATGTTTTGGAGGTGCTGGACAGCAGTGAATGCAGTGAGACAGGGAAGGGCTCCCAGTGGGGGAGCAGCCAGTGCCTGCCTGGTGGACTAGGAGATGGCACCCTGTGAGCACAATGGTGGAAGCTTGGAGGAGACGGGTTTTGAGGGAAAAAATTGAAATGGAACCTGGACTTTTAGGGAGAGTCAGGAAAAACAGTGCATTCAGAGATGCATACGCGTTGCCTGGGAATTGGTGTGGCTGTAGGAGGGGAAGGGTGCGGGTGTGGCGCTGGTTCAGGTCCCAGCTGCTCCACTGCCAGTCCAGCTCCCTGCTGATGCCCTGGGGAAGACCTGTACGGAGCTCCTGGCTCCTGGCTTTGGCCTGGCCCAGCCTCAGCCGTTGTGGCCATTTGAATCAATGGATGGAAGATTTCCCTCTCTGTCTTTCTCTCTTTTTGTAAGTCTGCCTTTCAAATAAATAAATCTTGAAAAAATTTTGGTAATCCCTGATTCACCTAAATTTTGGATATAATTATGTAAATACAATGTCAGCCATGCCTGTATAGAAAGTAAATGTGGAGATTCTAAAAACTGTCTCTGGGATCGAGGGAAGTCATATGACGGTGGAGATCCTCCTCTTGCTACGAAACAGTAAACTAAATGATAAGTGTTCCTCTGTAAGTGTTCTCTCGGCGCCAGCTCCTAACCCAGCTGAGGGAGCGCTGGGCTCCAGGATTGGAGTCTGTCGCAGAGTGTGCAGCGTCTGCGTGACACAGGTGCCCTTTGTTCCACGTTAGTACTTGCAGCACGACAGCGAATCTTTCCTGCTTTGTTTGGCTCTGTAGGTCTTATCCAGCCCATCCCAAGAAACCAGTTTTTCCAGAATTATTTTAATAACAACTTTGTCAACGAAGCAGATAGGCCGTACAAATGTTTCTACTGTCATCGTGCGTATAAAAAATCTTGCCACCTGAAGCAGCACATCAGGTAAGGTCATGGGTGCAGAGATGGAAGTCGGTTGTGTTGCCTTTTGATATTTAAAGGATCACATTTGACCCACAAGACACGTATTGATAATTAATAGTTTTCATTGTTTAGTGTCTTGACTAAGATATTTTACCCAGAAATTTCCACCAGACCTTGTTTTAATCCCTATCATATTTCAGCATTTTCAGTTGCAATGAAAAGTGAAAGAACTATTTGGTTTATTTAGCATTATGTTTACTTTTTTATCTGTATTCATTGTTAATTCTTAGTGCTAGTTCAGTGGAAAGAAAGTGGCAACTTGACCATGACTGAGTGGAGTCAGGAGGACAGTGTGGTTTCCTGCACACCCGCACTGCAGCAGCCGTGTGACCTTGGGGCCCAGGGCGTCTCGGCTGTGAGGTGGCAGGAGCTGCGAGCGTGGCTAAGACATGGTGCTGGTGAAAGAGTGGACAGGAGTGCAAGCTAGTCAGAGAACTGGAAGACATTCGTGGCAATATTTCTTCTTTTTAGGTCACACACAGGTGAAAAGCCCTTTAAGTGTTCTCAGTGTGGAAGAGGCTTCGTGTCTGCAGGCGTGCTCAAGGCACACGTACGCACGCACACGGGGCTCAAGTCGTTCCAGTGTCTGATCTGTAATGGGGCTTTCACCACTGGGGGCAGCTTACGGCGGCACATGGGCACCCACAACGACCTCCGGCCCTACATGTGTCCCTACTGCCAGAAAACGTTCAAGACCTCACTCAATTGCAAAAAGCACATGAAAACCCATAGGTAGGTGTGCTTCCGGGGCCACGCTTCCCCATCTTGATCATTCCCAGGTGTACTGGGGGCTGCTTTTAGGAAATGCTCGTCTTTGACTCCTGTGTTAGCATCTGCAGCTGGGTACGTGGGCAGAAGAGATGGAAGCATCAGTGTCAGATGGCCTCTTGAGACCCCTAAACTAAAACGTCCACGTCTTTATCTTTACCATGGCATGCATGTGGTCTGTATTGGCGCAGTGCCTTGTCCGCTGACAGTGGGCGATGGATGAGCTGAGATGCTGGGCTGCGTCTGATGCAGTCAGGCAGGGGAGATTTTGGAAGAGAAGTCTCCCATGGGCCTGTGATTCCCAGGCACGGCATTAGCACGTCGCGTTGCTCCTCGTTCTGTGTCAGCCGTCCACGAGGCCTCCTTCGGTCTGACTACGGCTCGGCCTCATAGGGCATCCAAGAGCAGTGTGTTTGGACCTGGCGCTTGCTGCCTGAGCCCTTGAGCAGCGCAGAATCCTGTACTGTACAGTAGGGCGTGGCTAACGTGGCAGCCATGTCCCCTCCCGGGAAATGCAATAGAAGTTACCGCAAAAAAGTACTGACCCTCCACCCGAGAATGCTTACTTCTGAGTGGTGTCACCCTCATGCACCCCATGGAACCCTGGCGATGGTTTCTGTGGTGGTTTGGCTCTGAGTGCCACGTGCTGTCCACAGAGTCGTCTTGTTTGATTTGAGCAGAGATGATGGCTTAGCTGAGACCTGTCCCCACCGCTCAGCCCAGTATTGGTGGCGCCAGTGAGCATAGGCACTCCTGTCAGTTGTGCGTGCAGGTATCCTTACTGCCTTTCCTGGAGGGAGTTATGTGCCGCGCTTATGTCCGGGAACTGGGGATCTGCATGGCCTTGACACGCAGGATGCCTGAGTCTGTTCACTGCCACGGGGTTGGGTCGCCATGTCCTGAGGAGCTCAGACCTCGCTTGCCCCTGGCCTGTCTGTCTCTGTCAGGCCTTTACAACGCACCTTCGGTGGTAGAGTGGGGACTGTGAGTGTTAAAGCCCTGTTTATGCAGCCAGTGGCCAGTGGGCTGATTGTGGGACCCGCTGCATGGTGTGGGGAGTACTGCCTGCCGTGGCCTGCCACGGGCTACCGAGAGCTGTGAGCAGCATCGCGTGTGGTGCTGAGGAGGAGCCTCACAGACCGAGGGCTCTGCCCCATGACAGTGGTGCTTTTGTCATCTACAGCGTGGGCACCTGGCTCCTGCAAGGAGAGGGCAGGCTGAAGTCTCAGGAACTCCAGAACACTGACTAAAAATAGGCATAAAAGGCTGCAGTAGTAAAATCCATGAAAGCAAAAGTTGAGTGGACAGAACTCAAGTGTCCGCCTGGCCAGGTGCTTGTGCAGACCTGCGCCCTGGCTGCGGGGCGGTGTGTCCCCTGGCTTTGTGTCGTGGTCACAGTGCAGGCCTCCATTCCGCAGAGAAGCAGTGGAGCCTTGACTCTTCTGAGATGTCAGAAACGAAGAGGGGAGATTGTGTTTGAACGAAGTAAGGGTGGACTTCGGGTGGGCAGATCGAGAGGAACCTCGGGTGGATCGTGTGGGTGTGGAATGAGAAAGAAGGAGGAGACGCCACCTTGCCTTAACCTGTGCAGGCACCCGAGCCAGCCTGCTGAGCAGGTCTGTGTGTGAGGTGGGTTTTTTTTTTTTTTTTTTTTTTAAAGTTTTTTAGATTCATTTACAAAACTCAATTCTCTTTTTTCTCTTTGGAAAAGAGACTGTTGGCCTTGATGCATATGTGCTGGGTGTGTTTTGTACCGGCTCCCCTGGTGTGGTTCTTTGAGCCCTGGGCCCCCCGTGGGATTGGAGCTGGGGCGTTGCACTCTCAGGCGGTGGCATCCTTTCTTGTCCTGAGACTCGTGAAAGCACAGGGGTGTGCTGTCCTGCCTCCCCGCGTGCCGTGGCCTGCAGCCTGAGACGGCACTTGCGCGTGAGATGCCGTGGTTTCTCCTCTGAATTGCTCAGAGTGACGTAATTTTTAGCTGCATCGTCGTCACGACTTTAAAATGAAAGGCGTGACGAGCAGGTGGTTGGCAGCGGTGCCGGCACCTGATTGCACACGTCCTTGGCCTCTCGAAGGTACGAGCTCGCCCAGCAGCTGCAGCAGCACCAGCAGGCCGCCTCCCTCGACGACAGCACCGTGGACCAGCAGAGCATGCGCGTGTCCGCCCCCCTGCAGGTGCAGCTCGAGAGCGCCGAGCTGCAGCAGACGGCCGAGGCGGTTGCTGCAGACCCTGAAACCATGCTGGACCTGGGGCCACAGCACGTCGTGGCTGCAGAGGACACGGCACTGGGTCAGCCGCTGACCGATCAGCCTTTGGACGCAGACGAAGGTAAATGTTCCAGGAGGGCTGAGGTCAGGACGACCCTCGTGGGGTGCTGTAGCCCTTCACCCAGTGCAGTGCTTTGCTCTCCCATCTCTGACTTCTTAAAAAGTCATTTATGTATCTGAGAGGTGGAGGGAGACACACGGAGAAGAGAGCGGCCATCTGCTGGTTCACTCCTCAGCTGCCCACGGTGGCCCTCTAGTTGGTGCTGAAGCTGGGAGCCAGAGAGTGAATCTGCGTCTCCCACGTGGGTGGCCTCACCGCTGCGTGCCGGGCCCTGTATTAGTAGGAAGCTGGACTCAGGAGCAGAGCGGAGTGCTGAACCCAGGTGCTCCGCTATGAGATACAGGTGTCCGAACCGGCAGCCTAACTTGCCGCCCCCGTGCCTGCCCCTTAAATCACAGTGTGTCCTGCATGTGCGCGTGTGCACGGACGCTGCTGCCGTGTCCACCGTTGCCCATGTCCTCTTAATCAGACTTCCACTCTCCACCGTACTAGGTTTCTGAGGGCAAGTTTTTTGTTTTTTTGAACATCTGATTACTTGGTAGCAAAAAAAGTATTTGAAATCCTAGGACTGTCCGTGTTTTGGTGTGGGTTCTTCCCAGTATTTTGGTGCAGGTATGCAGGCCCACGTGTACCCACGTGCATGGTTTGGCATGCCTCCAGAATTACGGAAACGCAGTCTTAATAGGCCTGCTTCTGTGTGACATTGTGTCCCTTAACACATGGACGGTGTCCTTCCTCTCAGGCGTGCCTTTATGCGGTCATTGGTACTCTGCTGTGGTGCCCCGCTGTCCACCCACAGATGGAGCAGTCAGGGAGCTTTTGCCAGGATGGACAGCACTTCACAGAGGGCCGGTGCCATCACAGGTGGTGTGCCTGGTGGCCACGCTGACCTGTGTCCTGGCGCAGGTGTCTTCTCAGGCAGCCCTGGTGACAGCATGCTGGCCCGGGTCCTTTCACTTTTTGGGCGTGGCGTCCCCACATTGACTTAGTCTGTGGGCAAAGTCATATTCCTCATCCCCAGTGACACTTGGGCCTGCACGTACCCTAACAGCCTTTAAATGGCATTGAACATTCTGACAGTTTAGAATATTACCTTATAGAACAACATCTAAGTTTTTTTAAATTTTTAAATTTTATTTTATTTTTATTTATTTATTTTTGACAGGCAGAGTGGACAGCGAGAGAGAGAGAGACAGAGAGAAAGGTCTTCCTTTGCTGTTGGTTCACCCTCCAATGGCCACCGCGGCCAGCGCACTGCACCGCGCTGATCCGAATCTGGGAGCCAGGAGCTTCTCCTGGTCTCCCATGGGGTGCAGGGCCCAAGTACTTGGGCCATCCTCCACTGCACTCCCTGGCCACAGCAGAGAGCTGGCCTGGAAGAGGGGCAACCGGGACAGAATCCAGAATCCGGTGCCCCAACTGGGACTAGAACCGGTGTGCTGGTGCTGCAAGACGGAGGATTAGCCTACTGAGCCGCGGTGCCGGCCCACAATATCTAAGTTTTAGGAAAAACTGGAACAACTTTATGAAGATAATGCCATAACCAAATTTTTAGCAGTGTATTTATGCTTCCTATTTTTTTCCAAGATAAACTGTTTAAAATTTGAATACGTATGCATGTGTGTTTTATTGGAAAGGCAGAGAGAGACAGAGACGTGTGCCCACAACAGGCAGGGCTGGGCCCTCAGTCCAGGTTTTCCGTGGATGCCTCCAGCTCCCAAGCCCTTGAGCCATCAGCACTGCAGCTCCGGGTGTGCATTCGCGGAGTGCTGGACTCGAGAGTGGAGCTGGGACTGTGATGCAAGCACCCAGCACGGGATGGGGCGTCCTGAGTGACCTCCTAACTGCCGCGCCACACACCTGCCCTTAGAGCGCTGTGTAAGGAATTGTTATGTTTCTTTATGTTATATTGCAAAGGCAGGCGCACAGAGAGACAGAGATCTTCTATCTGCTGGTTCACTCCCCACATACCTGCCCCAGGCAGTGATGGGCCAGGCTGAGCCAAGAACCCAGAACTCCATCTGTGTTTCCTAAGCAAGCGGCAGGGACCCAAGTACTTGAGCCATCACCGCTGCCTCCCGGGAGCACACTAACAGGAACCGAGATTGGAAGCAGAGCAGCCAGGACTCCGTCAGGCACTGTGATGTGAGATCCGGGCAGGCACCCCCAGCGGCAGCGTGACCACTGTGCCGCACCCCCACTGCGAGGCTGGTTTTTACAAACATCCTGGAGTGAGCCTGGGGCAGAGTGGCAGATGGGAAGTAGCTGCCAAGTGTGTGGTCTCCTTTCCTTTGCACGCTCGTCCTTAGATGGGTTTGCGGCCCCCCAGGACCCTCTCCGAGGGCACATGGACCAGTTTGAGGAGCAGACCCCGCCTGCGCAGTCCTTCGAGCCAGCAGGGCTGTCACAAGGTCAGTAGTGGGTTTTGAGTGAGCTGTGTGTAAGCAGCGCCTGCCGGGTTTCACGTAACGAGCCCAGTGCTTTCTGCATGTGTTGTGTGTGGCGTCAGGAAGCAGCCTGCGTGTCCACGTCTACCTTAGTTTCTAGCCAAGAGCAGGGGCTGAGGTCCAGCAGTCGGGGGAAGGTGGCGGGGAGGGGGTCCTGGCACACGGCACTCCGTCCTGGCTATGGCCAGACACTGGCTGCACTGATCTTGACACCAATTCAGAAAGCAGAGATGACCCTTTAGGTATTTTTTCTAGTTTTTTAGAGGCTTTTCTGTGTGACTTTAACGCTTCTGAGAGCTTGTCTGACTCGTTGCAGGTTTCACAGTGGCAGATACGTACAGTCAGCAGCCTCAGTTCCCAGCCGTCCAGCAGCTGCAGGACTCCAGTACGCTGGAGTCTCAAGCCCTGTCCACAAGCTTCCATCAGCAGAACGTACTGCAGGTCCCTGGTGCCGAGGCGGTCAGCGTGGTGAGTGACGGAGGGCCCACACCCGGGCAGCGGTCAGCACTGCCGTGCTGGTCTTCACTGTCATAGCTGAGGTGTACGCACGTCTCGGGAGAGCATGCGGCCTTCACGCAAAAATCACAGTGTTTAGCAAGTGGAGCCTTCCGTTTTCCTCAAAATATTTTAATTTTACTCAAGGTTTCCAATACCATGATGTGAATTTGCCTTTTTGGTTAAAAGCCAGGAAGGGAGTGAGTAGAGTATAATGTAACATCAACTGAAAGGTATTATGTTGCCTTGGGCACTAAACCTAAACGTTTTTGTTTGTAGAGTTCTAAATATGGCAGAAGGAAAATATTATGAATGATGATACATTAAAAGCTTAAATGCATTTTTTAAAAAGATTTATTGATTTTACTTTTGAAAGAATTACAGAGAGGCAGAGACACAGAAAGAGAGATCTTCCGTCTGCTGGTTCACTCCCCAGATGGCCTCAATTGCCAGAGCTGGGCCAGACCGAAGCCAGGAGCCAGGAGCTTCTTCCAGGTCCCCCACATGGCTGCAGGGGCTCAGGCACTTGGGCCGTCTTCGACTGCTTTCCCAGGTGCATTAGCAGGGAGCTGGATGGGAAGTGCAGCAGTAGGAACTTGAACCGGTGCCCACGTGGGATGTAAGTGTTGCAGGCAGCAGCTTAACTTGCTGTGCCACAGCACCGGCCCCAAAATGCATAATTTAAAATTTTTATCTCTTAAAAATTTTATCTCTTATTCAAGTTGGAAACATTGGATTTTTGTATCTGGAAATTTTTTAGTGCTGCTACAAATGATTGACCAATGAATTGTGATCTTTCTCTTTTTTAAAAGATTTATTTATTTATTTATTTATTTATTTTGAAAGTCAGAGTTACAGAGAGAGGGGGAAGACAGAGAAAGAGAAAGCGAGCAAGCGAGCGAGAGCCTCTTTTGCTCGTTCACCTCCCAGATGGCCACAATGACCTGGGATGGGCCAGCCTGAAGCCAGGAGCTTCAGGCGGGTCTCCCACGTGAGTGCAGGGGCCCATGCATTTGGGCCATCTTCCACTGCTTTCCCAGGCCATAGCAGGGAGCTGGATCAGAAGTGGAACAGCTGGGATGTGAACCACGTGAGACAGTGCCCACGTGGGATGCTAGCACTGCAGGCTGCAGCAGCCTCACCCACGATGCCACACGTGGGCCCTGATCGTTCTTTCTTTAAATTCCACCATTGTAGTTTTACCCTGGTGCAGGGCTGTCTCCTCCAGTGGGCAGTTCCGAGGGTTCTTTCATAGCTCGAAGCTCTGTGACTGACAGCAGATGCTGCCTGGGTGGTCGAGAGCACGCTAACACTAGCTTACCTTTTGCTCAGCACTATGCAGGCCCAGCTCAGGTGTTGCAGAGCTGGGCCCTGAAGGCAGGCAGAGTGGACACAGGCCCTTGCTTGCAGCATCTTACAGCGGTGCCCCACGGTTGGCACTGTGTCTGTCACTGTCCCTTGCCCTGAAGGTTGGCTTCCCCTGTGCCCTGTGTGTGACACGGTGTTTGTGGAGCGACTGGAAAGCGCCGACCTGGCCGTGTCAGGAAGGCGGGGTCACGAGACTGGCTACAGGCCTTGTTCTGTTTCTGACGAGAGAGAAGACAGCCTTCTCAGAAAGGGAGATTTGTATTCTCCGTCAGTGAGGGTCAAGCTGATGGAAGAGTGTTTTTTCATTAAGATGTTTCAGAAGGGCCGGCCCTGTGGCGCAGTGGGTTGACACCTTGGCCTGAAGCACCGGCATCCCATATGGGCGCTAGTTTGAGACCTGGCTGCTCCACTTCTGATCCAGCTCTCTGCTGTGGCCTGGGAAAGCAGTAGAAGGTGGGCCCCTGCACCCGCTTGGGAGACCTGAAGGAAGCTCCTGGCTCCTGGCTTTGGATGGGCACAGCTCTGGCCTTTGCGGCCAATTGGGGAGTGAACCAACAGATAGAAGACCTCTCTCTCTCTGTGCCTCTCCTCTCTCTGTGTAACTCTGACTTTCAAATAAATAAATAAATTTTTTAAAGTTTCAGAGTCTGTTTCATGGTAGATGAAAGTTTGTGTTGAAGGACATTAATAGACAATAAGCAGGCCTTGACTTTAAAGTATTGTCGGTGACGTAACTTGCTTGCGGTTCTTGGGTTGGTTCAGATGACCGCAGTGGCCTGTTGGGTTCCCTCCTCGTCCTTGTCCCACATCATCGTTGTTTACTCCCAGACACTCAGAATCGTTTGCTTGATACCCCGTTCCGTTTCAGACAACACGCTTGATTCCGGAGTCTCCCCAGGAGCAGCTGGACCTGCGGACGCAGCGGCCCGCGTTTCTGGAGGATGGCGAGGATCAGAGCCGGCGCTCATACAGGTAGCCCCTGCCCATGCCGGGTACCTCTTGACAAGGGCGTTGCAATGTAGTCATCGTGAGACTCTCTGAGTTAGGTCCATTGTCATCCTCATTTTAGAAAGAAAGATCTGAGACAGGAGCTGACCGTGCTGGTTTTCGCACCACTCACAAGCCCCAGGGCCAGGGCGTCTTCAGCCCGGCACTGGTGTGCTCTCTGGAAGCTGCCTTGCCGTGTTAAGCCATCGTTGCCCTTCACCTGGCCCCTTTCTGGCCAATGAGTGGTCTTCAAAAAGTTCATGGAAATGAACATTGTGAAAAAACTATGCATGGATCTCAAAATTCTTACAATAAAATAAACTTCATTTTAAATTCCATTTTCACAAACTTTTTGGAGTCCCTGGCATGTGAGGACCTGTGTGCCAGGAAGCAGGTGACCCCTAGGACAGCTGTCCCAGGGAGCCTGCCCCCATATGGAGCAGGTGCTTGGAGGACCTGGTGAGCCTAGGAGAGCTGCCCCCGGGAGCCTGCCCCCATATGAGCAGGTGCTTGGAGGACCTGGTGAGCCTAGGACAGCTGCCCCCGGGAGCCTGCCCCCATATGGAGCAGGTGCTTAGAGGACCTGGTGAGCCTAGGACAGCTGTCCCAGGGAGCCTGCCCTGTATGGAGCAGGTGCTTGGAGGACCTGGTGAGCCTAGGACAGCTGCCCCCGGGAGCCTGCCCCCATATGGAGCAGGTGCTTAGAGGACCTGGTGAGCCTAGGACAGCTGCCCCAGGGAGCCTGCCCTGTATGGAGCAGGTGCTTGGAGGACCTGGTGAGCCTAGGACAGCTGCCCCAGGGAGCTTGCCCCCATATGGAGCAGGTGCCTGGAGGTCGCTGGTGAGCCTAGGACAGCTGCCCCCGGGAGCCTGCCCCCATGTGGAGCAGGTGCTTGGAGGGCCTGGTGAGCCTAGGACAGCTGCCCCCGGGAGCCTGCCCGTATGAAGCAGGTGCTTGGAGGGCCTGGTGAGCCTAGGACAGCTGCCCCCGGGAGCCTGCCCTGTATGGAGCAGGTGCTTGGAGGACCTGGTGAGTTCTTGACTGGCTCACACTGTGGCTTGTGCTCACAGCGAGTAGGGCAAACATGTTGCTGAAAAATCAAAGACAACTCTATGTGTTTCCAAAAGTTACAGTGAATATTATCTTCTGCAGAGACAGCCTTAGCTTCAAAATATTTTAATAATTTAATTTCCTTAAAATTCTTTTGAAGTCAGCTTTTCCAGAGCCATTTAAGAAAAGCTGTGTTTCATGACTGTATAGTCACCCTTGCACACTGGTGAGCCACCTTGCAGCAAACGAATGGTCTTAGACGGGATTTCTGGAGGAATGAGCCTGCTAATATTGATACCATGTAATTTTCGAAAGGCCAAGTAACTCCTTTGTCCCAAACCTGTCTGTCAGCTTCTTCATCTTCAGAAGTATACTGTCCTGAGATGTTTATGAATCGTGAATCCAGAAATGCACCAGGGCAGTGGTTCTTACTTTGCAGAGCGCATGGGTCCTGGGGCTGCGCAGGTGGGCTTTGGCACCTCTGCAGCACTCCTGTTATTCTGTTCACTCGGTCGCTCCACGTGGACTGTGTGCTCATGTCTGCTTTGAGAATTTGCATTATGGTTCTAAAGTACCACTAATCTAAGGTTTTCTCATGACTCCTCCATGACATCTGCTCATGACATTACTCACGCATCACCCACCCACCCAGCAGTCTGTCCACTCATGTGTCCACCCACTGAATCGTCCATGCATCCATCAAGTGTTTATTAAGGACCTGTAATGTGCCAAGCACTATGGGCTGTAATAGTCAGCAGAACTCAGCACTCATGGAGCTTAGATCCCAGTGGAAAGAGAGAATAGCTCAGTGAGTAAGTAGACTGCGTGTAGATGAAATGTTCCCTGGGCACTGGAGGAAGAGAGAGGAAGAGCTGTACCTGCTAAGTGCCACGTGTTAGCTAGTCAGAGTCACGGCTGTTCTGGATGCATTTAGGAGATAGAACCTACGGGACCTGTGACAGCCGAGAAGCGAGAGAAAGAGGAGGCTCAAGGATCTGCCAGGATTTTGAGCCAGATGTCTGCACGGAAGAGGTGGCTGTCACCTAGGAAGGGGAGATGAGTGTTGAACAGGATTCAGGTCCCCAGGCTGACATCTGAGGATGGCGGGAATTGAGGGGGCGGTCCGGACTGGAAGTACAGGTTTGAGAGTTGTCAGAGCAGAGACCAGCATTTCAGGCGGAGGGGTGCATGTCCACAAGAAGAGGCGTGGCGCGAAGCCCCCAGCCTGGCCATGCCACTTAGAGGCGGGCGAGGCAGGGAAGAGCCTGTGCCGGCCTGAGGTGTGCTAGCTAAGAGCTGGGAGGGAACGCGGAGGGAAATGCTGGTGTGCACCTGTGTGCCAGGAGATCACAGGCCCTTCTCCAGGACATGAAGAATTGTGGAAGCTGTAACGCTCCCTGCCCCATGGAGTGTGCTGGAGTCACCTGCACCCCTGGCGTTCGGCTTGTTTCCCGTTCTCTGCCTGACCTCATCTGGGGAATGTGCTCCGCGAGCTGTGGGAAGTCGCTGGAACCCTGCACACGGCTGCCTCGTGGCTGCTGCCCTCAGTGACAAGGCCGTGTGCGCTGGCCTCTGGGACTTAGGCAGCTGTTGGGCACTTCAGGAGGACTGTGGTCGGCAAAGCAGGCAGGTGCGGGCTGGGAAGAGGGCAGGGCCCTTGCACAGGCAGAGAAGGTCCGTCTTCTTTGTTGTTACTTTTTTAAAGATTGGTTATTTGAAAGAGTTGGGGGGGAGGACAACATGTACTCTTCCGTCTGCTGGTTCACTCCTCAGATGGCCACAGCAGCCAGGGCTGAGCCAGGCCAAGCCAGGAGCTCCATCTGGGTCTCCCATGTGGGTGGCAGGGGCCCAAGCACTTGGACCAGCTTCTGCTCCTTTCCCAGGTGCACTGCGGGGGGTTGGATCAGAAGTAGAGGAGTTACTTGGCCTCTGGGACTGAACTGGCTGCCATGTGGGCTGCCAGCGTCACAGGCAATGGCTTTACCCACTCTACCACCACAGCAGCCCCAGAAGGGTCCATCTTGTGTGGGCGGTGCTTGGTCCTTCAGGTGAGGGTGAGACCAGAGGGAGAGGGCCTGCTTGTCGGACCTGCTCTCCCCAGGACAGCCAGGAGCGCCTAGAGTGTAGTTGACTCTGAGCAGTACATGAGACTGTTCTGCAGAGCTTGCTCTCCCCGTCCAGGAAGCTTTCCTCAGCGGATTCCAGCTGGCCCCATGGTACAGAGAAACCGTGCCGATCAGTGCGTCTCTCCACCACGGACACGGAGACAGAGCCCATCCTGCTTCCAATCCGGTTTATCTTTCCATCATTAGATGGAGACTAGTGCTTGCTTTCTGGTTGTAGACTGGTGGGCTATCTTTTGGTTTTGTATGACAGGCAGAATGGGACAGTA